AAAGTGTTGTAAACTCTAAGTGCCTTATGCATGCTATCAGTTACAGTACTTCTTGTCTGCCAGGGCCTCCTGGTTAAAGTACTGGGTATATGATACTTTGTGGGAATAAAACCATTTTAGGCAGCTTTCCTAAAATAGCTCCCTCCTTCTCCCCAGCTCCTCTCCCCGGTTTCCACACTCTTATTGTGCTTTTTCTTCATAGCAGGTATCATAACCTGAAAGTATATTTGTTTATCTTCTGTTTCCCCCATGAACTGTCGTCAGCTTCATGACAGCAGGACTCTACCAGCTTGTTTCCCATTGCCTAGAAGAGGGTGTGCCACGTAGTAGGTGCTCAATAAACAGTGATGTGTTGAGCAGTGAATGCATACTCTGCTTCTTCCAGGAGGTGGGTCAAGCAGTAATGGCTTGCAAACTTTGGTTTGCTTGTTTCAAATGCACTTGGGGGTGCTTGTTTCAAATGTGGGGTCCTTGCTCCAGCACTGGTGAATTTTGATTAGTAGGCCTGGTAGAGACAAATGACTTTGCTATTTTTAACAAGTGCCCCCAGGTGACTCTGTTGCAGGTAGTCACTGCACATCTCTTGATCCTACAAATCTGAATTTGGCTTCAGCCTGCCACTTCCTAACTGTGTGACCTTAGCGAGGTCACTTAACTGCTTTGAGCCTGTGTCGTTATTTGTGAAATAGTAATGACTACATTCTAGCAGAGTGGATGTGAGAATAAAATGAACTAAATGATGTGAAGTTCTTGGCTTAATGCCTTAAAAATACTGTTAACCAGCCACCCTTTCTTTCAGTTAGCTGTTAACCATCAGGGCTCCTTAAGAGGCGACAGTCTAGTTGGCTGTGATGGGGGAAGGGTGCTAGGGCATTTGTCTCAAAGCTATTTTGATGAGCAATGTTTTACTTAAACAGAGGGTCATTGCATAATGGGTCCCATTGCAGATAATAAAGGCGGGGATGGGGCACTATATCCTTGACTCACTTCTAAGTATGACCCCAGCCTTGGAAGTTACCACTGGGAATTTGTAAAATGAGAAAAAGGTATTAATACTGCACAGGTAAAGTGACTGCATTTTTTTTTTTTTAAAAAGCAGACCTTATTTTTAATTTGTGAGTTTATGGAGTGTTCTGATTACCTAGTGCCACTCTGACAAGAAATATACCACAAATGGGATGGCCTTAACAAACAGGAGTTTATTTTTTACA